TTTCCGACAGAGTAATAATAATAATAATTAAAAAAGGCTTAAAAACAAACTTTTTACATTCTTCTTATTTTTTTTTACCTGTTTTATTTTTTTTTACCCCTTTTCCTTTTTTCCTTTTTACCCGCCCAATCGAATCCGTCCTTTGAATTTTCACTTTCCGTCCATTACTTTTCCGTTATGACGCTGTCTTTTTTTTCCAATATCACTTTTTTCAATTCGTCCATGGGCTCTCCGATTTTTTCATCGTCTCCGACCATTTCGTCGACGTAAATAATTTTTTCTCCCGGCAAATATTCGACGTTAGTTTTTTTGGGGTCTCTCCTGAGACAGAGTTTCAAATCCGGATAAATGTTTCGGACGGCCATCAACATTCCGAACGCGTTTTTCATTATGAATATGGAAGTGTTGTGATTGTGTCTCACCCATAGGAGAAGACGTATGGCAAAATACGGCATGTCGACGCTGAAAACGTGAAGGAGATTGTGCAAAACGGTGAGAGGAACGGGCAATCTTTTATTGTGATGCTCTCCCAAACTGAGTTTGTAAAGTATTAGGACGGGAAGCAAGAAATTGACTCCGGCTATTGCCACGATGCCCGATATGAAAGTCGGAGTCAACGTATCGGGCAAATTGTTACCCGAATCGCTCAACAATATTGATAAAAAAGAAACGGAATCTAATATTTCAATACCAGTCTTTGTGCATATGGAACTGACGTAGAGGTACCGCGGAGAACCGGGTTCCGACCAATTGTGCCCTTCGACCAATATCAAAAATATGACTCCGGACAACGCGATACCCACTTTGAGAAGTTGTGGACCCGCCACGTTTTTCGTATTTAAATGTTCGGGTATTTCAGACGTGAATATGACGGCTATTTTACTCAGAAGTAAAACGACGTAGAAAGCCCACGACACGTAAATGAGAGGCAAAACGCCGAATTTCGAAGCCGAATAATTCGTTATGAAACGTTTCGGAGAATACAAAAATGAATTGTTTGGATTTTTTTGCTTGTTATACTCTATGAGGTATCGGTAGGCGACGGTCAACGTTCCAGCGTATAAAAATATGCATATGAAATCTCCGAGAAAGAAAAAATAAGTCGTGTTCGTGTCGGAAAATTGTGAAATGATGTAATAGTTCAACAATGTTCCCTGTGTGAGAACTAAAAGACCCTCGGATATTCCTAGGAAAACTTGGAAGAACAGTCTTCGATTGCAGCAACCCATGTTTGATGATGATGACCCTGAAACAAACGAAACAAACAAACAAACAAATTAACAAAACTTTTCTTTCGTTTTCTTTTTAATAAAAAAAATTGCATTCGTGTCAACAAACGCGTCGCAAAAAAAGTTTTCAAACAAGTTTTTTTTTTTTAAAACTTATTTACAACCAATTTAATAATAATAATAATAATAATAATAATAATAATAATAATAATAATAATAATAAACTTTACATTAGCAAAAATTGCCAATTTAAACTTTTGACAAAAAAAAAAAAAAAGTATTAATGATGATGATGATGATGATGATGATTAAGTTTTTTTTTGTTAAAAAAAAAAAAAAACTTATTTATTTATTTACCTACTGCATTTTTTCCGCACGAAAATACTTTTTTCATTTTTAATACGACAAACGACAAACATTCACAATTTAAAAAATAACAACAAACAAAGGTTAACAAACGAAAACGTTTGTTGTTACACCACCACGCACAACAAAAGACTAACTAACCAACTAACTAACGCTTTCTCAACATTTTAGGTTTCGCACGGGTAATTTTATTTAATTTTTTTGGCGAAAACTAAAAAACCTGAACAAAAGTTTTTCTTTTTTTACTCACCAAATTTCATATTATTATATTCACAAACTTTTCTTTCTATATTTTTCTTATTAAACCGTAACCAAACGAGTAGTTTAAGGAGTAGGAGTACGAGTAGTAGTAGTACTCGACTCACACTCACGCTTGAATGCATCAAATGTGGTTCATCTTGACATTGCTCACCGTTAACCCATGCAATTTTTTTACACATTAACTTTATCATTATTATTATTATTATTATTATTATTATTATTATTATTATTGTTGTTGTTGTTGTTGTTGTTGTTGTTGTTGTTGTTGTTGTTGTTGTTGTTGTATAAAATTGGAAAGAAAAACGAGTTTTATCGTCGTCATCGATGACTGACTACGATTCTTTCCTTTAATATCGTGACGAGATGATGAATAATTATTATTCGAACGATTGAGTGTCCGTTAATTTTTTTTTTTTCGTTTTAAATCAGTTGCGAAATTTATTTAAATTCTTTACCGAGAATATTATTATTATTATTATTATTAATATTATTACTAATCTATTACTGTAAGGAAAACTTAGTAGATCGTAGAACAATGTAGGCTTTTCCACATTCCAGCAGCCCACGTTTTTCTTTAATTTTTTTTACCTTTTTTTTTTTTAACGCGTAGGTAAATTGAAAAGAATTGAAAAAAAAAAAAAAAAAAATTTACATTTTAAATTTTAGGTTATTCTTACAACCGATAATTCGCATTTAAAAAAAAAAAAAAATAATAATAATAATAATAATAATAATATTAATAATAAAATTTAAGAGAAAAAAAAAAACGAGAAAATTCTAATCAGTTTTATACGAAAAACGAGAAAATAAGGCATGAATCGAACGTTTATTGACACGTTTTCCCGGCCCCCCACCCCGTTTTTTCATTTTTATTGTTTTTTTTACAACGGAAAAATATTAATGATGATAATAATAATAATAATAATAATAAATTTTTAAACTTTTATCTTTAGAGTTCAAAAAAATTTTTAAAAACGAAAAAAAAAAAAAAATCAAATTCGATTTTTGAATTTTCTTGAATTTTTTTTTTCCGTTATTTTCAAACGTTGTAAATAATAATAATAATAATAATAATAATAATAATAATAATAATAATAATAATAATGAAAAAACCGGTCGTGTTATTAGTCAGAAATTCAAATCAGAAAACGTTTTAAATAAAAAAAGAAAAAATCGTTATTCATAATAATGATTTA